TTTTTTTTTTTTTTTTTTTTTTTTTTTTTTTTTTTTTTTTTTTTTTTTTTTTTTTTTTTTTTTTTTTTTTTTATTCTTCTTCCTCTTCTTCTTGTTTCAACCAACCCCTTTTCCCATGTTTATCTGTGCCTTTTGAATAATGAACTTTCTGTTTCTAACTCATTATAATATCGACTAAAAAATTTAATAATTTTAAAAAGATTTTTTATCCAAGGATTATGTTTATTACGTCATACTAATTTCATATTAGAAATCAGTTCTTTTGTAACTCAATAATAGATGAGATCTATTCCTTTTTTGGAGTACTAGAGGTTTTAATGTTCATATGAACTTTTTATGAATTAGTATTATAAGGCGTATGATGAGAAAACTTAACCTTGATCCATGAGAGACACTACTGGTGCATCTTCGAATAATGTATAGTAATGTGAGAAAGAAAGTCTTTCAACAAGCTATTAAAGTCAAACTTTCAACCTTTTAATCGAGAAAAAAATATTTTGAGCAATTGAATTGCACCACTCTGTTTGGGTACTTTTTAATATTGATTTCTCGATAGGTAAATATGTTTGTAATAGGCTAAGTAAGTAATTTGAAAGACAAGATGCAAAATTAAAAGTTCAAACAATTTTCATATGAATGACCTGATAACTCGATTAACTCGGATTACCCAACCTAAACCATAAAGGGTTACAACCAATTTTTTGGGTTAAGTTGGATTAAAAAAACCTAAAAATTTTGGGTTAATTTGTATGTTGACATTTTTTTTTTTTTTGTCTAGTTAACTTGTCCATCTTGACTAGGGTTACAACCAATATAACCCCATCCTACTTTTAAGGTTAGCAATTAATGTTAATGATGTGTTTTATGAATCTTTTGATATTTGAATTTTATGAGATTTTAGTTGGATAAGTAGGATTTTTTTAAATAGGTAAAAAAAAAAAATAAAAATAACTTGACAACTCAACCAATAAAAATAGAGGGTTAGATTAGGTTGGGTCGTGAACTCTATTCAGGTTGCTTGGATCATTAACTCAACCGACCCAAATGTTAGGTTAGTCCAAAAGACTCTTCCACCCCAACTGAACTCATGTACACGTGAATATGAAAGTAAACTTGTAATTTAACCGAACTCATAATATGTTCACAAGTTTATGGAAAGAATATATGGGTAGAGAAAGGCTTGTAAGATGAGAGGGCAAATATGGCCCTCATTTGTACTAGTAGGATTATCACCACCTTCTTAAGGTAGACCAAACGACAACTTCGAGTCCTTGTTGTCTAACTAAATTGAGACATAATTGTATTTCTCGTAATAGACAGGTGAGAAAGCATCAATGTTTTCGAGTTTAGGGTTCATTTTACAATTTTTTTTTTTTTTTTTTTTTGAAGAGAGGAAATGTTCGATAAACTATGTTATTTCTTATTTCTATTTTTTTCATAAATATTTCTACCAAATAGGTAAATTCTAAGATATTAAAAAAAAAAAAGTTAGGGTTTGTAAAGAAAAAATAAAATTTATTATAATGTGACACATGGGTATGGGTAAAAAGGTAGATAAATAAATCGAGATCATATTCAAATGAAAGTGATCATGAAGATATGATAAATAATAAATGTGCATTTTTTTTTCGGTGACACACAAGAATTCTTGGTTCAGTTCTCCACCTTAACGACAGGAAAAAGGAATTGATCAAATTCTATTGAGTCTGACTCATAGTGATCATTTATCAAAGAATGACTCTGGTTATCAAATGATTTAACAACCGGGAGTAATTTTCTTACGATACTTAGTTGACATTCATAAAAAGTATCTAATGAATTATGAGTTCAATACATCATGTTTAGCAGAAAGACGGACATTCCTTGCTCATTATCAGAGTGGAGCTAATAGTTTGAATTTCCCATCTCATGGAAAACCCTTTTTGCTCCGTTTAGCCCTATCCCCCCGTAGGGGTATTTTAGTGATAGGTTCTATAGGAACTGGACGATCCTATTTGGTCAAATACCTAGCGACAAACTCCTATCTTCCTTTTCATTACAGTATTTCTGAGTGAGAACAAAACATATTAAAATGACTCGGGTTAGTTTGTGAAAATAACCTTTATTTTTTAAAATCATTCAAAACAAGTATGACAATAATTTTACACCTTACAATTACATTAAGATATGGTACGTTTTTTTTCCAACTTCAAAATTTGTGATACCATAAGAAATTTACTACAATATACATAGGAATGATTCAACAAAATATACATGTCTAGTTCTAAAAAAAAAAACATTTAAAAAAGTTACGATCATCCCACTTTAAAGCTAAAGAACTCATTAAAAAAAGAACATTTTTAACGTAGCAAAATCAAAGTTAATATATCATCTTTAAAAGTTTTCTTTGTAAGAATCTAACGAAAATAGAAAGATTCGAATCTCTAACCTCTTAGTTGAATACCTTAACCAATTCACCTATGTTTAGAATGACAAAATTTAATACCTGGCCCAGAAGCGAGGAGCGGGAAGTAATGATATAGGCTGATTATCGCTGCCACAGCGTCCAATGTATATCGTTATAGCTGCACAGTCAAAGTAAGGAAAACAATACTCACTGGCAAAGTGCCTCAAGATAACTCTATTATGAAATTGAATACGAATTGTCAAAAAAATTATAGTTTCACTAGAATCATCAGAACCTAATCTAACTATATGTATTTATATCTTAATATGAGTGACATCAACAGACAAATAATCTTGTTCTCATTGACTTGCACAGCTAAATCCAAGCCAATCCTGCTGCTGGGTGAACATAATTGGTACCCTTTGTGCATCTTCTTTGCCTTATTTGCCACACTTTCCAACTCAGATTCTCATTCAACAAATCAACTACCAGACAGACAAACAGAAAAATCTATATCCCTTTCTCTTCTTCTTCAACTCCCAATAAAAACTCATGATATCAGAAGCCACCACAAGCAAACTTGATATGGATGAAGCTAAAAATGAGTTCTGTGTTGGCAGCTTATCAGTTGAGAGCAGTCCCATTTGCCAACGAAAATTATACTTGGAGTTGAGCTCCAGATTTCATGGAACCTATGTAGTAGACGGTGTGGTAGAATCATCAACTTATTATGGATTTATGTTACACTTACTCAAGAACAGGTCTTCTCTGTCTAGAAATTTCTTCCAGTGAGCTTTGTATTTTGGGATGCCCAACTCCAGCCAAGGTTTCAAATAACCATTATAATGTAATGTAGCAGCTTTTTCAATGTCTTGAACATTAACCTTGTAGTCATGACCTAATCCATAAACAGACCATGAATTATCAAGAGCGTAGACCTGGCCATGAAAGGTAAGCAAGCTTGCACGCAATGCAGCAGCATCCGTTGATTTGTCCTGCTTGCTCAGCTTCTGTTCAATAATGGTTATGAAGGCAAAAGTGTCAGATAATCTGATGGTTCAAAGCTCAAATTTCAAATTTATCATTGATCAATCACCAAAAGTATTGAAGTCAAACTGAAAAACATCGAGTATTACGCATGAAAACAAAAGTTAACAGCTAACATATATCATAGAAAAGACACGACAATCATAAAATAGGCCCTAAGGTATTGCAATACAACGTATTATAAACATCTGCAGTGGAAGATCCATGATCAAGAAGATTATCTCTTATTCAATATTAGGACCATTGATTTAAATATACACTGAGAATTTGAGGAAAACTTCTTGATTTATTTTTTGGTGTGTGTGAGAGGGTGAGCGAGCTGATAAAAGCAAGCAAGCATGTTTATGCACTCAATTGTAAATATCTAGAATTGTACAATTAAGCATCTTCACAAATTAGCACAGTTAATGAGATGGGACTTACCTCACTGACCAAACCACGGAAAATTTGAGAAAGATCAAGCTCTCTCCACTTCGCCAGATCAATTACGTTCAGTCCGGACATCCAAGTGCAATCATCTTGATTGTAACTATGCTCACCAAGAAAACTTTTCAGCTCACCCAACCTCACATGACAGGACTGAGCAGCACCATTAACTTTTCCTCCCATGTCAAGGCTCCACAAGGCTGATAGGTCTCGCTGGACAACAACATCATCCTCCAGAACCACAACTTTATCCAGGTTCTTGAATATTTCAGGGAGAAGATAGTGCAGATGTGAAAACATTGACATGTATTCTGTCCTAGAGTGAGTTAAAGTGCGAAATGAAATACGGAACTCTTGAGGCAATACAAAAGTTGCATTTTCTTCATCATGAAGCTTAACATGATCAACGTTCAATACTTCAACAGTTGCGTCCTTATAGCTATTCCTCAAAAACCAGAGTTTCATGGCAAAGTAATTCTGTCCATCAGTCAATACATGAAAAACCTGATTTCCACTTTCCTAGAACATCAAAGAGTATCAGTGTCATTTTAAGAAGTAATGGAAACATACAAGTTAGAAGTGCAGAAACATTTAACTCACTTTTGCATGTGAAACTGTTGAGTTGATAACCACTGAGGATGCAAGTATATTCTTCGAGAATATTATATAATGGTACAAAGTGGGATCTGCATATTTCTCGGCCTGAGAGAGCTCCAAATTGGTTGAATCAGTCCTAAAATATTCGACAGTTAACTGCATAGACAAGCAATGCAGGCTCTTTGGCATGGTCTGAACAGCTAGTTGGAAGAGAAAGGCACTCTGTTTCATGTGAAAACTGGCTTCATCCTCAGTCATATCATATATTTGTCGCAACTTTTTGTCCACATTATTACAGTCCAAAGGGAATGATTTAGCTTTGACTATTGCAGCTTCCATATTCAGCGACTTTTTCTCTATCCTGATTAAGAAATTGAAGACGTGGAAAATTTTCCAGGGCAGAAATGTAAGAATTTCCTCAACGAAGATTCAATCAACTAAAAGGGAAAAAAAAGGTGTCATAAAGTGAAGCAACTAGATACTATAGAGGCTAAATGTTCTATAATATGCTCATAGCTTTAATTAGTTTGCATAATATATAGAATTTTCATCTCCTTAAATATCTGAAAGCATGTAATAAGCAGACAAGCTAGTAGGTTTCAGGAAATAATAGTACGCTACTTCCCAACCTCACGTTACAAAGCTTTCCAATATAAAATTAAGAGATTAAAATGATAAAAATGATTAATAATATTCCTATCTATTTGCTATCAAAGTAGCCTTAAACCATTGGCATGAGTCTAAGAGAAGCATCAACAAGTTCATTTAACACAGTGCTAGTGATATATCTGATGCTTCAGCTAACTCTTTTTAGATAAGAGTGGCTCAGGCTAGCTTCAGGGATAAATAACCCAAAATTTAAAGACCCACCCAAAAAGAAGCTGGAGTTATAAACTATATTCAGCGAATTTATCTAGATGCACCAATATTATCACTTGGATAGCCCAAAATTGTCACTTGTATAGCCAAACTGCAGCCGTAATTAACAAGCATTAGCAAATAATAAAAGAAATAGACTTCCCTAGCCAATGGAAAATTTCAAAATCTTGAAAATACTAATATAGCATTAACTTTTGCACTTCCCTAAAGGGCTTGGTGTTCCTCGTTGTTTGATCACAAGATAAAGAACAATTCAGTTCTAATGCAACATGAACATGGTCACACTGCATGAACAACATTGTTAAAGCATTTCCTATGGGCTATGAGGAGAGAGAAAAATAATAGGACACATAATGACGAAGGAATTAAGGACAGAGTTTTGGTTTTGCTAAAACTCCATTGCTTGTCTAGGTGTACAATTGTAAATCTCTCAGCAGTTGAAATTCTCTTGTAATTAACAGAGGGAGGGGTAGTGTCATGCAGTTTCCTCTTTTGGGGAATCTTAGGTTTGGATACTGAGTTATAACTTTTCAATTTTCATCTTTTTCATCAATAAAATCATAAACACGACCACAACTTACTGTAGTGGAAGATCAAGATCTGTGGTTGATTCACTCAAGACACGTTCCAGCTCTTGAATATTTTGCTTCAGTTCTTGAGTTAACTTGCCTTGTTTTGGAAGTTTTGCAATGCTAGGATAGTACGCTCGAGCAACAAAAAGCTGATCCTTCAATTTGTTTATCATAGAATCTTTAATAACTTCTCTATTTTCCTCTCGCCAAATACAATAGCTCCCAAACTTCCATTCACATGGTTTTCCACTTTCGTCCATGGCAATCATGCGATGGGTAGCCTGAACTTTGCCATCAACTTTGGTACCCTGGAAAGGCATATAAAAATTAACCACAAAACCACTTGAAATCCAGAAGCAGTATATAAGTTACACCACAGACTAATACATTCATACATTTTCATGGGTATGCGTTGGAAGAGCGTCAACTTTTGGAGGTTTCTCTTCAACTTTTGGAGGCTTCTCTTCAACTTTTGAAGGTTGTAAACCTGTAGGTTCTTCAAACCATATTATTTAAGCTTAAAATTATGCCAGACAAAGAAAAGAAATATTGTCGAAAACTTGCTTGAAAGAATTCGTTCAACCAAACCTTTTGTTTCCCGACTCTCATCTATGAAACCTTCAACTTCCTTCTTAGGTTCAATGGCATTGGGCTGAAATACGTCCTGACAATGCAGACCAAAGGCAATTCAAAACAACCACCCTAGAACTATTTTAAATACCAAAATGGCGAGACCCTTTATCAAAAGAATTAATCTTAAACATCAATTACATAAGAGACTATAAAATCATATACATCGAAGTGTCAATACATTATTAATGTTTAAGATTGAGATAAATATTAATAAAAGATAAAATCAACAAATGGATATATAGCATATACACATTTATATGTATGTGTGTGTGTGTGTGTGTGTGTATGCATGGAAAAAAAAAAATCAGAAAAAGAAACCATTAAATATGACAACTGAAGCCCAAGCCTGCTGCTACTAACTATTATTTTATTGGTGAATGATATAGAGTGGACACTGCCGGTTTAAATAAAACTGGAATCCGTTAACCAATTAGGAAAAGAATCTAACACTATGATCTACCTGACCAAGCCAATATAGCGGTTAACTATTACATGTTTTCTGGTGGAATGTGGCTCTTCCTATCAATATGAGAACTTTCCTATCAACTATCCTGGTGGGACACCCCCTCAAAGAGGAAAAGGAAATTATATGGCTAAACATCATGAAAGCTGTTTCGTGAACCATATGGTTGGAGAGAAACAACCACTCTTTCAATGAAAATACGCTGCCTTCAATAGATATTTGGATAAGGTTTTTCCAAATGTTTTTCCCCATCCCCCACCCCCAATATTTAATCATATAAACGAAATATTCCTGAATAAAAAAAAAGTACATAATGTACCAAAAATATATTTCCTAAACAATTAAAGTAGATACAAACTTTCATCGTGATAATAAATATCGGAATAGTTAGACAGTTTTCTCTGAGAAACTCATCAGTTATATAATAGTCCTAGCAGTATTCATGTCTTCAACTTCTGGACCAAATATTTTCGAAGTTTTAGTTTGTTTCATAAGTACCTTTCAGACTATCAAAAGGACCAAGTTCTCACATTCCCTTTAGTCTATCATCAAAAGGACCAAGTTCTCGCCTCAGGATGGTTGGTAAATGCGCTCTTCACTTGGTGCATTAGCTGCATAAACCTCCTAAATTCCGCCAATCCCCAAATTCCCAGTCTCTCTCCATTTATAGCCGCTCCACCAAACAAACTACCAAAGTAGTAAATAAAAGTGCCACCCCTAGTCTTCCTAATATAACCTGCTAATATTACATTGCCCTCAGAAGCACACCTTGTCCACACTCATAAAATATGACAAAATTCTCACATTCCCTTCTTTTCTTGCCACTATCTAGTTGCACTCCACCTTTGCTTGAGATCACCTGATCTCTCTAGATGGGTTGACATGTTGATCTAATCTGTTCTACTTGTAATTTTTCACATGTGATGATTCTTTTTCCGCTTCAACCAAATCTTGATTTGCCTTCCTCCTCTAACTTCTATTCTTTCATCGCTCTTATTTGGTTGTTTATTTCTTCAAACAAATTCTTCCATTCATCTTTAGATCCTAAGAGTTCCGAATTCCCTCGAGTCCTTTGCAACTTCGCTAACAACATTTGCATAAACTTTCATTCCATTCTTTCCCTCCTGTTGAAAAGCCGATGGAATAAAAAACTTTTGTTCCACTCCCTTTCACAAATGTTACAGATGCCTTACAACCTTTACCCACAAAATTACGCTCATCTAAGTCCATGCCAGCAAAGCAACTGGATAATATTTCCTTCACTTGTTGCATCAAAACCCCAAGAAAATTCAAAATACTGCAGAGGAAAGATCCAGCACTTCGTTCTAAACAAGCAATGGAACAACAAATGACCTTGAATCTCCTCTGCAGCCCTCTAAAGAACGCACAATTTGGTTTAAGAACTGTACTTCAGTTTTTTTTTTTTTTTCCCTTTTTCCTGAATCATTTCAATAATACTAATCTCCTCATGGCAGTTGGATCATAAGAAGAAATTTATTTTCTTCTCCCCTGCCTTTCCAAACAGCCAAGGAGGACCCTTTTACTGTATTGGTGACTGTTTATTTTCAATGAGTGGTTCAACGGAGAAAACCCCTATTTAGTACTTAAAGCAAGTCCTATAGTTTGTACAATTTCATCTCTGGAGGTGCTACCTTTGAAAAGAATACATAAAAGAGAGACTTAAAACCAATCTAGATCTGAAACCTCATCATTATCCTATTTTTTTCCCAAAAAGAGTCTTCTAATCAATCTTCCCAGAGGACAACAAATTACCCGATAAGGATTGGAGAAAGCTCAATACAGAAAAAGGAACAAAAAATTTGTAAGTTGGTTCACATAACACAAGGAAAAAAATGGTACAATAAACGGTGAAGTAGATTCATTCCATAAGAATGGCCTCTAATGTGAAGAATAGCCATTTGAATCATGTTATAAAATGTATGGACTTATGCAAAATCTAATGTAATCAAGTCCCTTCCCTGAACTTTTTATTCTGTGAGCTTCATCTATCTCTGAAAGATTTCGAAGCCTTATAGGGAAAACGGAAAAAGAAAAATTAACAAACCAAGGAATTAACCATTAGAAAAGGTAAGAGCTCAGAGTAGCAAAACAGAAAACAGAAGGGATAAAGTTCTGCAAAGTAGAAGGTATATGTTATTGGGTGCGGCTGTAAACTGTAGAGGAACTTGGCTTTCAGCTCAGATAATCAATTGCACAATTATTCAAAAGTTTAACTGTGCCATACTCATACTAAGAAAAAAATCATAATTTCAAAGCCTTTACTTTGGGTAATACATTACAAGCATTCTGATGAAATTTATCTAAAATACTATTCCCAAATGATATGTGGCACAATGTATTCATTTACATGCCAACGGTGTGCATCCATTACTCGTCCAAGTACAACATTTATAACAAATAAATAAATTATAAGAAGAACTGACCAAGCACTATCCATAACTGATGCAAGAAAAAAAAACAACATGCAAAAAGAACTAAGAAAAATTATTAGACCTTTGGAAGCGTTGGTCCCAATTTTCTGATTATGTCATCTACATGACTAGGTTGAAACCCCTGCCATAAAAATGTTCATGGAAACTAAAATAACTGGACAGTAGAAGTACACTAAATAATGGAGAACGATCTAATCCATTAAGATTTCTTTCTTCCTGCATCGAATCAACTAAAATCATTTTCTTACATCACCGTAAATATACAGAATGATATCAATAACTGGGAAATTTACAAAACCAATCATGCTTATAGTATGAGTTTTGAAACCAAATGTCGCAAAGACAAATATTAGTCCTTACAGGTTTTGAACTTTGCGAGTCAGATGCATATCCTGCTGAAGAACCAAAAAAAAAAAATTGTGTTAGAAAAACACTTTTCTTAATAAAATATGTTCTAGTGGAGAAAATGCTGTTCATGAAAAGTAGAAACTGAGAAAGGGAAATATTGCCAAGCCCGACTACGTTGTGATTATTAATAGAGACGTTATCGACAAATAGAATAGGCAGCTCTTATCAAAAAAGATAGAATAGGCAGATGAAAGATTACAGAAGAGGGAAGAGGCCTAAATTCCTTCCTATCCTAATTCACGCGGCATTCATCTTAGAAAATCCCGAAGAAGGGAATCAAAATGGAGGGAGAAGGATACACTTCAACAAGAAACGGTGAACGGAATCAAAATTGAAGAGCCAGGCCATATACGATGCAAATGACTCTAAAGATGCAAGAAAATCGATTCGAAACATTATCGAATTTAAAATCAAACGAACCAAATACAGATGACCCAGATGCGGAACGCGAGATCTACAGAGCATTAAACAAAGAGAATAGAAAGTGTGCAAGATGTGACAGGCCCAACTGAGACAGCAAAAGCTACGAGCAGATCCGATCAATTAACGTCAGATTCAACACAGCCAAGGATCAATTCGATTGAAAAGCAAAAAAAAAAACAAACAAACAAACATGTTACCCGTAGTGTGAAAGCCATTGTAGAGACCGAGCAAAAACACGAGAGGCACAAGCATTGAGAGGAAAACGAGGCCAAGAACTCCGATCACGAGTCCTTTCCATCGCCTCTTTGCCGGAAATCCATAAGCAGAAGCTCCACTCCCTCCGCCACCGCCGCCCTTCATCTCCGTCACACTACCGTCTGTCAACTATTTATCAATAATGTATAATCTTCCTCTTCCAAAATCTGCCCCCTCAACCGTCGGCAATTTTCCTGTTCGTATCAAATTGATTTTCGCTGAATCTCCGCCAGAGTTGAAGCAGAGACGTAATTCAGATATAGATCATGAAATACGAACAGTTCATCAAAGATTGAAAAAGGGAACACTGTTGTCGAGTAATCCGAAGGAATTAACCGCTGTTGTTGTTGAAGGTAGAATCAGGAATGGGTTTCGTTTTCATCTCTCTCGTTCCATCGCTCACTGCAATGGATGGATCAGATACAAATTCCTCGAAGTGGGTTCGGCAAATGAAAGACCAGTGGCGAGTGGGAAGGACTTGAACCGGCTGAATTCTGGTTTTTTTTTTTTTTTTTTGGTTTATTTTACACCCCAATATATATATATATATATTATTATTTTACTTTAATTTTTATTTCCTTCTTTTATTATATATATATTTTAATTACCCAATCGGATAAATATTTAGATTTTTCTTTTTTTGTAATAAATTGGGATATTAGTAAGTTAGTTATATCATGTTAGGACCGTTCTTAAATAAAATTTATTAAAAGTAAATTGTTAGTTCGTAAAATATATGTTTTTTTTCTTTTCTACCGTTCAATTAAGAGTCACAATCGTATTTTTTCACTGTGTGAGGTCGTGATCTCATGCCCACAATCAGAACCCAACTTAACCTGGCTCGACTCAATTTGAGGCAGATATTTGGACCGTTTTGCTCTACAACTTCATTTGTTTCTTGCTTGTTACACAACATAATTTGCTCGATCTTCCAATAAGTCTATTCCACGTCCCTTCAAGCTTGATTATCCATCAACAAAACACGACTAAATGAGGTCCAAGTGAGTCAGATGAAAGGAATGAACCTTGCTTAAGCATTCCTCGAGATGATGTTGACTTAACTCGGATTGACCTGAAACCCTAGTCGATTTTCTTTTCTTTGACAACAACGAGCTTCATAAACACATTTGATCTCTCGATCGAGAGTAAATATCTATACTTTTTTTTTTTTTTTTTAGTTCTACAATTATAGAGTGAAAAATTGAACTATCGACTTTTAAGATGTTTAAATTGACATATATCTCAACCAGTTGAATTATGCTCAAATTGGTGACGTAGTGTAAGACAATCAATTTAAGTGATTTAAGGATAAAATAGCTTAATAAATGTAATGAATGATATCATAATGTAAACCTAATAAATGAAATTAATGACATTAGAAAATGATGTTATTAATCACTAATAATCATCCCTAGCCTATACCATGCTCGATAAGTGATTCTTCATTGATTTCGATTCGATTCAATAGTTTTCTCAATTCATATTAGTTTTTATCACGTTCGAGTATGTTAGTTTTTCTTCAATGATCTTTAGAATCAAAATTCTTGTGGACATTTTGGGTAAAAGTCAAGAATTGTGAGTTCGTTATTTTTATAAATATACGGTAACAATCGAAGCCCACCGTTAACAGATATTGTCAGTTTTGGTTCGTTATGTATAGCTGGATTAGGTTAACTAGAATGTAAAGGAAGAAATATACTGTAATAGCCCAAACCCAAGTCTACTGTTAACAAATATTGTCCGCTTTCGCCCGTTACATATCGTTTTCAACCTCACGGTTCATTTTCCTCTTCATCTGATATGGGATCTCACAATCCATCTCCTATGGGGGCCCAGCGTCCTAGCCAGCACACCGTCTGGTGTCTAGCTCTAATACCATTGGTAACAACCAAAACTCACTGCTAGCAGATATTGTTCGTTTTGACTTATTATGTAACATTGTCAACATCACAGTTTTAAAATACGTTTTCTAGAGAGAGGTTTTCACACGTTTATAAAGAATGTTTCGTTCCCCTTTTCAACCGATGTGAAATCTCAATTTTTATCTCGTGAGAGTGTGTTTTCAGCTGATTATTTAGTCAACTCCTCACAATAATAAACATTCGCAATTAGCTACAAAAATAATTTTAAGTCAAACCTCTCGAAGTATGAGTTTATAATGCACTCAAGTTAAGGTTGAGTGACATATGATCCTTCTATAAAATATTAATTTTCTCAATTAATGATTTTATAATACTCCAATAAGTTTTGATTTATTCGTCGAATTTAAAAAATAAAAAATAAATAATGAATTTATTTATTTATTTATTGAGAAGGCAGCTAAAAAACAATAAATTACGTGTCATCTGTTTCTCCCCGCCCACCGGTATTGTCCCATTCAAAAAACATGTGCCAAAATTCAGCAGAAAATAGTTGGAAACATTTTTTTTTTGGTAATTTTTTTATACAAATTAAACGGAAAAATAGGATATATCTTAATTAATAGATTAACATAATAAATAATAAAATAAAATAAATAACAATTTAAATAAAGTCAACATAAAACCTATTGATAAATAATAATAATAGATATTAATTTAAATAAAGTCAACATAAAACCTAGTCCAATATTATTAGTCAACACATTACTAACCAATCTTTCCCTTAATGAAATGTAATATTAACAACGAAAAATAATTCGAATATTTTTTATAAATTTCTTTATTTTATTTTTTATAATACCGTCACGATATCAACTATTTCATACCATTCAAACTTCAACGTTTACACGTTAACTACGGATTTTGTTTAATTTAACAAGATGAATAATTAAAAATTTAAACCTTTTGAGTTTTAGATCAATGATACCATGTTTTAATTATTAAGTACGATTGTTGTCATAGTCAAGATAATATTATTTCGATCCTGGAAATGAATTCACTGTCGTATGGCTGACCAGCGATTACTAGTGATTCCGGCTTCATACAGGCGAGTTGCAGTATACAATCCAAACTGAGGACGAGTTTTTGGAGTTAGCTCACCCTCGCGGGATCACGACCCTTTGTCCAGACCATTGTAGCACGTGTGTCGCCGAAGACATAAGGGGCATGATGACTTGATGTCATCCTCACCTTTCTTTGGCTTATCATCGACAGTTTACTCAGGGTTCCAACCTCAACGGTTGGCAACTAAACACGAGGGTTGCGCTCTTTGCGGGACTTAACCCAACATCTTACGACACGAGCTGACGATAGCCATGCACTACCTGTTGTTGGATGACGAAAGTCCCACATCGGCTAATTTAGGGAATGATCATGGGTTTATAAGTGAGGAATACTAACTCCATTGGTATGAGGCCTTTTGGGAAGCCCAAAGCAAAGCCATGAGAGCTTATGCTCTACCATTGTGGAGAGTCGTGTTCGTCTAACACCTGTGTCTGCCTTCTCGAAGGCACCCCTCTCTTTCAAGAGAGCATACCAAACCCGTGATTCACATGGACGAGAAATGATTAGGTAATATGCATCACGTGATTCTCACTTGCATTCATGCTATTTTGACCAAAATGTAGGCTTTGACCATGTAGATAACTTTGAGCCGCAATACCATTCTCAAAACTAACCAAGTTGACTTTTTACCACTTTGAATGGTCAACCCAATATGGCAAGACTCTAAATAAGAACCATTCCTTCTTTCTCAACAAACTTCCCAATCATTCTCTCTCTGTCTCTCTCATCAATCTTTTGTTTCTCTCCCATGGCAGAAGTTGATCCTCCTCCCTTCTTCCTTTGTCCCATCTCTTTGCAAATTATGAAAGATCCCGTCACGGTCGCCTCCGGCATAACCTACGATCGGGAGAACATCGAGAGATGGTTGTTTTTCGATAAACATACGACGTGTCCGGTCACGCAAGTGGTCTTGTCGGACTTTGATATCACTCCCAATAATACTCTCTCCCGTTTGATTCAAGCTTGGAGCACTCTCAACGATGGGGTCGACAGGATTCCGACACCGAAGCCTCCGATTGACAAGAAACAAGTCATCAAGATTCTTGCAAATGTGAAGCTGTCTCCTTTCTCTCAACAGAATTGTTTGCAACGACTCCGGTCTATCGCATCAACAAACGAGACGAATAAACGTTGTATGGAAGCTGCTGGAGCGGTGGAGTTCTTGGTTGGAGTTGCGTGTAATTCCATTACCATAGAATCGAACTTTCAAGGTACTTCTAAATTACAAATTTTAAGTATGGACGTTTTTTAGATCCAACTCAATTTCTTTTAACCCAAATAAAAATGAACTCAACCCAACCATAAATTTTTTTGGGATAGTTGGGGTCAATTATTCAAAAAATTTTTAATAAAAATAATATAAATTTATAATTTGGCGAGAATTTATTAAACTATTTACTTAATTGACCACTAAATTAAAATATTGTTGACACAGATTTCGCGTTTGACGATCCGTTAGCGAATTTGGGCGATGAGGCATTAAGCATTCTTTACAAACTTCAAATCTCTGAATCCGGCCTCAAGTTTCTTCTCGCCAACAATGGCGGCATCTTCGTCACAACCCTAACAAAATTCTTACAAAACGGCACTTATGGCTCCCGAGCGTATGCAACAATGCTTCTTCAATCGATGTTCGAAGTCGCCGATGAGATTCAGATTCGCAGTCTAAATCTTGAATTCTTCGTTGAAATCGTCCAAATTCTGAAGGATCAGATCTCGAAACAGGCCTCCAAATCGGCATTGAAATTGCTAATCGGACTCTGTTCGAGTTTCAGAAACAGAGTAAATGCAGTTCAAGCTGGTGCGGTTCCGGTTCTGATCGATCTCCTCCTGGATCTCGATTTGTCGGAGAAGCGTTTGTGCGAGATGATTCTCGTGGCGCTTGATCTGCTCTGCAGCTGTGCTGACGGCAGAGCGGAGCTATTGAACCACGCGGCGGGGATCGCCGTCGTGTCGAAGAAGATTCTCAGAGTTTCGTCGCTTGGAAGCGAGAAGGCCGTCGGAATTTTGTGCTCTATTGCGAGATTCTCGGCGAGCCAATCCGTCGTTCAGGAAATGGTGCGGCTCGGAGTTGTGATGAAGCTCTGTTTTCTGCTTCAAGTCGTCGGCGCCGGAGCGAAAGCGAAAGAGAAGGCGAAAGAGATTCTAAAGCTTCATGGTCGAACATGGCGGAATTCTTCATGTTTTCCTTCGAGTTTGCGACCTTCTTATCCATTTTAGGGTTTTTTTTTTCTTTTTTTTTTTCGCAAAACTTCATTTCTTTCAAAGTGCATATAGTTAGAGCTGATTGAAATTCGATGATTTAAGTTAAAAATTTGTATATATTTTTTTGTGTAAATAATTTGTTGAATTTAGCTTACTTGGAAGTAAATAGGTTAAATTTAAATGGGTTCCAAGTATAATTCAAAGATATTAAACCGATCCTTTGTTTATTCAAAAATTGATAGGAAATTTGGTTACCATTCAATTTGCAACGGCCCAAGTCTAC